TGTGGGATCCCCACTTCCCAAACCCCTCTTCCCAAATCCCCTGTGAGATTCCCAAACCCCATTTCCCAAATCCCCTGTGAGATCCCAAACCCCATTTCCCAAACCCCGTTTCCCAAATCCCGTTTCCCAAATCCCGTTTCCCAAATCCCCTGAGAGGTCCCAAACCCCATTTCCCAAAGGAGTCCATGGGATCCCAAATCCCGTTTCCCAAACCCCATTTCCCAACTGAGCCACTCCCGCCTCCTTTATTCCCACATTCCCATAAACCCCCCGTTGGAATCAGCCTACGGGAACATCCCAGGGGAATCCCGAGGCCCCCTCCCACCCGGAGCCCCCAATTCCCGGCATTCCCGGGACTCTGCGGGATTTGGGAACGCACCATATTCCCGAGCTCCTCGGGCCGGAGCGAGGGGAGCTGCAGCTCCAGGCGGGAAAGGCTCTGGAAGCGCTCCAGGAATTCCTGGAGAAGCACTCGGGGCTCGTCCAGCGGGAGCAGGGCAAAGCGCTCTGGGGAAGAGGGAAAAGGTGGGAATGCCGAGCGGGAATGTCGGGAATGCCGGGAATGCCGGGAATGCCGATTGCCGACCCTGCTCGTCCCGCTGGGAAAGGGGGAGGAGCCCGGCCGGGAAAAGAGGGAATGAGCTGGAGGAGGGGGAAGGATGTTGGGATGGGGGGAAGGAATTCCTGGCTGGGAGGGATGGGGAGAAATGGGGTTTGGGATCCCACAGGGGATTTGGGAAATGGGGGTTGGGAAATGGGGTTTGGGATCCCATGGGCTCCCTTGGGAAACGGGGTTTGGGATCTCACAGGGGATTTGGGAAATGGGATTTGGGAAATGGGGTTTGGGATACCACAGGGAATTTGGGATCCCATGGGCTCCCTTGGGAAATGGGGTTTGGGATCTCACAGGGGATTTGGGAAATGGGATTTGGGATCTCACAGGGAATTTGGGATCCCAGGGGCTTCCTTGGGAAATGGGGGTTGGGATCTCACAGGGATTTGGGAAATGGGGTTTGGGATCCCACAGGGGATTTGGGATCCCATGGGCTCCCTTGGGAAATGGGGGTTGGGATCCCACAGGGATTTGGGAAATGGGGTTTGGGAAATGGGATTTGGGAAACAGGGTTTGGGAAATGGGGTTTGGGATCCCACAGTCTGCCTTGGAAAATGGGATTTGGGATCTCACAGGGAATTTGGGAAATGGGGTTTGGGATCCCACAGGAGATTTGAGAAGTGGGATTTGGGATCTCACAGGGGGTTTGGGAAACAGGATTTGGGATCCCACAGCCTCCCTTGGGAAATGGGATTTGGGATCCCACAGGGGATTTGGGAAATGGGGTTTGGGATCCCACAGGGAATTTGGGAAATGGGGTTTGGGAAATGGGGTTTGGGAAATGGGGTTTGGGAAATGGGGTTTGGGATCCCATAGGGATTTGGGAAATGGGATTTGGGATCTCACAGGGGATTTGGGAAATGGGGTTTGGGAATTTGGGGTTTGGGATCCCATGGGCTCCCTTGGGAAATGGGATTTGGGATCTCCCAGGGGGTTTGGGAAATGGGATTTGGGATCCCACAGGGGATTTGGGAAACGGGATTTGGGAAACGGGATTTGGGATCCCACAGGCTCCCTTGGGAAATGGGGTTTGGGATGGAATTCCCAGGGAAGCTGGGGTTTCCCGGGAAGTGCTGGATGGGGCTTGGAGCCCCCCGGGATAGCGGGAAGTGTCCCTGCCCTGGGGTGGGAATGGGATGGAGCTGAGCCCCCTTCCCACCAAAGCATTCCATGATCCAGGGGAAAATTAGGGAATAATGGTGGGAAAATTAGGGAATAATGATGGGAAAAGTAGAAACTAATGGGTAAAAAATAGGGAACAATGGTGGGAAAAATAGGGAATAATGGTGGGATAATGAGTAAAAGATAGGGAATGATGGTGGGAAAAACAGGGAATGGTGGGAAAATAGGGAATAGTGGTGGATAAACAGGGAATAAGGGTGGGCTAAAATAGGGAATAATGGTGGGATAATGAGTAAAAGATAGGCAATGATGGTGGGAAAAACAGGGAATGGTGGGGAAATAGGGAATAATGGTGGATAAATAGGGAATAAGGGTGGATAAGTGGGGAATAAAGGTGGATAAGTGGGGAATAATGGTGGGAATAATAGGGAATGGTGGGAAAATAGGGAATAAAGGTGGATAAGTAGGGAATAAAGGTGGGTAAATAGGGAATAAATGTGAGTAAATAGGGAATAAGGGTGGATAACTTGGGAATAAAGGTGGATAACTCAGGAATACGGGTGGCTAAGCAGGGAATAAGGGTGGATAAGTAGGGAATAAGGGTGGATAACTCGGGAATACGGATGGATAAGTTGGGAATACAGGTGGTCAAGCAGGGAATAAAGATGGATAACTGGGAATACGGGTGGCTAAGCAGGGATAAATCAGGAATAAGGGTGGATAACTCCGGAATACGGGTGGCTAAACGGGAATACGGGCGGATAACTCGGGAATACGGGTGGACAAGCAGGGAATAAAGATGGATAAGTCGGGAATACGGGTGGCTAAGCAGGGAATAAGGGTGGATAACTGGGAATCCGGGTGGCTGGGCACCCACCTGGGCAGGGGCTGTCAGGCCAGAAGCAGAACCTCTCGTGGGCGGCGCTCAGGGCTCTCCTCAGCTCGGCACAGCGCTCCCGGTCTGCGGGAAACACGGATGGTCCCTGCCC